ACTGTTTTCTTCCCTGCAGAACTGTTGGAATAAAACCAGAATGATGATCCAGAGGTAGACGTTGCCCTATGGATGCAGCTGGAAGGGTTGCTTAGCATTTGGGCAGTTGGAGGAATGCTCTGTTAAACTTAGGAGGTATTGCTCTTGACTTCTCAACCAGGGTGGGGAAACTAGGAGAAATGGAAGTTTCCTATTCAATTTGACAGATTCTGGAGAATTCAAGAGTCATGAAGAACCTGGAAGTTTCCCAGACAGTTTGAACAGTCTATCAAATTTATACAAGCAGGTTACTCTTTCTTTAGAATTCATGTGATGTGAAATTAGAAAGCAGCCTTCCACATGTGGACACAAGCTGTCTAGGGATTCTTTCAAGGCAGAAGATTGGGAATGTTGGTGTTCAAGGGACTCTTGAGAAGCCATCTTGTCTTCTTGCCCTTCATGAGGGTCGCAGGACACACAATGGCAGAGTCAGAGGGGACTGACTAACTCATACCAGCATGCAACAACCTTCACCATCAGAGAGCCTCTCAACGCCTCTCAGGGGCCAGGGAGTTAAGCTCCATTTCTCTTCTGATAGACTAGAGGACAGCCAGTCTCTGGGCTGAATGAGAACCTTTCAGGTTTTTGAGTTTTGAATTCTATAGAATTGTATCAGTGAGTCCTGGGAGCAGGGAAGGATTTTCATCCCTCATTCCACTCACTAGTGAGTTCCCACATGTGGCCATCAGCTCACGGGCTTTGATTCTATACATCTGGAGTGAGTCCTGGTTTTTTTAGAGCTTGACTTCAGGGTGTGTGCAAGGAGGTTCATTTGCAGTGCCAGGGAATGAGAACTGACCAGGGTTCCCATCACCAGTGGGACTGGACAGTGAGATGTGGATGCAGTCTTAGGAACACTAAGCAGCCACAGGAAGTACGGGGCTGGATGCAGAGTCTTGTGTGGCTAGGTTTTCAAGACAGTGTGGAGTCTGAGAAGCAGATCAGTGAGATTTATTATGTAATGATCACACACCTGAAACAACAGTGTTTATTAGGATATCCACACGTGGAAAGTTATATATTGAACCTGTAATGGGAGTGGATGTTATGGAGGAAGGAGGGCCTGGTAGGACAGAAGCTGATGATGCTCAGCACTCAGGGGTGTTGAGGAGCCTGGCTAACTAGACTCTTTGCATCCAAAAATAAGAAAAAAATATGGGAGGAATGAAACATAAGTTCTCCAAATGAATCTGAGGCTCTGCCAAATTTGGTCTTGCGGTGGTGCAGCCCTTACTCCACAGAGACAGGGTGGCCCAGGGAGGGGGAAGCCCTCTTGGGAAGTTAGCACTGTGCTCCCTCCTCTGTGCTCCCACCACCTGCTTTTTCTTTCTAGCTTGTCTTTTTTTTTCTTTTACTTTACTATAGCTCTTATTTTCTAATTTTTGTTTTATTTTCTAATTTTTAAGTCACTGTTATGAAGCATGAAGCAGCAAGGTGTGCACTTGTCTTAAGAGGAATGAGGAAAAGCCCACATTGTTCTGTTCTGTAACACACAATGTTGTCCTCTCTTGGATTTCTTACATTGATAGTCAACACACTTAGTCACGGGTTCAGAAACTGAGTGCTTACTATATGCCAGGCGCTGTGCTGAGGATAAATCCTCTCATTTAATCTGCACCAAAAACTCAATGCAAGTTATTCCGGTGTTTTAGATGATTAAAGCTTAGAAAGGTTGTGTATCTTTTCACATAGAAGTTCAGCTTAACATCCCCTGGGTAAATACCCACTCTGATCTGAACTACCATGAATCATGAAATGACAAGGTTGTTTCTTTTTATTAGATTGGGAAGGAATTTTCAAAATTGCCCAAACTTTGGTTGTGTCACCCTTAAAAATAAAATAGCTAGTTATTTTATTAGCAAAATGAGTTTGGGAATAACAGAGGAGTTGCAGTTCAGAACATGCAAGTTCTTTTTTTTTTTTAAGGTTTTATTTATGTATTCATGAGAAACAGAGAGAGAGAGAGAGTAGAGACACAGGCAGAGAGAGAAGTAGCTCTATGTGGGACTCAATCCCAGGACTCCAGGATCATGCCCTGAGCTTGGCAGATGCTAAACCACTGAGCCACCCAGGGATCCCCAAGAATATCCAAGTTCTGATGGATCATAGGCAAGCCGGAAGAGATAAAGAAGGTCAGCCTTTACTAGGTTTGGAGGAAACTGAAGTGTTTTATTTATTTATTTATTTATTCATTCATTCATTCATTCATTCATTCATTCATTCATTCATTTATTCAAAGACTTATTTGTTTTTAGAGAGAGCACAACTGGGAGGAACAGAAATCAAAGGAGAGAGAATCTCAAGCAGACTCCACACTAGCACGAAGTCCAAAGCAGGGCTTGATCTCTCGAGCCTGAGATTGGGACTTGAGCTGAAACCGAGAGTGAGTCACTTAACCCACTTTGCCACCCTGGAGCCCCCAGGGAGCCTTGGTTTAAAACAACAGTTCCTCAGGGAAGAGCAGGGTTTTAGGTTGTGGTGGTTTCTCACTGGCTGCAAGTGGGAGGTTACTGCGCTTGTTGCTGGGGCAGAGAGGGATCTTCCTTGCTTTTCTTAAAAGTGGGAGAGGAAATTCCCATGTGAAAAATGTCCTCTCTTACCAAGATAATTCTATTGTTTGTGTAGGTTGCAGATTGGTACATGCGTGAGAGCGCCCCCTTTAGGGCTTCCTCTACTCCATTTCAAATGGTTTCCTTTATTTTCACAGTGGGTATCCAAGCAGAGAGATGTGAATCAAGTTCTCTCCTCACTGATTGCTGCAAAATCTAACCATTCTGGTCTCTGAGACTGAGAATGTATTCAGACTCAAAGAATTCAAATACTCTTTCCATGGGACCACATTTGGGCACCACCCATTACATCTGCATTCCACTGGCTATCGTGTCACCAAGATGTTGTGTCACTAGAAATTTCAGTGAGAAACAGGAGTGATTGCTGACAAGTCGCATCATGTCTCCTACCGTTGTTTCTACCACTTTCATGTCTGTGAATGTACAACTACATGATTGATTGGTTCTCACCCAAGAGTTACTGCTCCTACGTTATTTCCATATTTTGTAGACTATGGTCTGATGGTATCTAACTGATGAGGTGCCTGCACAGGAGCCCAGTGAAAAACCATGCACCAAATTGCTTAAGTAAAAATACCCTGATTTAAAGGCACTATCAGCACGAGAGAATTTTCTAATCTAGCCAGCTTTTCCAGAAGTGCTGCTTTTCCAGGTCACCAGTGCCTTTTCTTGTTGCATACATACATCACCTGCTTTTTTTTTTTTTTTTTTTTTTTTTAAGTAGGCTCCATGCTGGCAGCCCAAGACAGGGCTTGAACTCGAGGCCCTGAGATCAAGACTTGGGCCAAAATCAAGAGTCGGATGCTTGGCCAACTGAGCTACCCTGGGGCCCCTACATTGCCAGTTTAAGATTTTATGTATTTATTTGATCGGGGGAATGGGAGAGGGAGAAGGAGAAGCAGGCTCCCCACTGAGCAAGAGGCTCGACAGACAACGATGATGTGGGACCATGGAATCATGACCAGAGCCCAAGGGAGATGCTAAACCAACTGAGCCACTCAGGTGCTTCCATTGCTTGCTTTCTAATCGGAAATTCAAGAGAGTAAAGTCTTCATCTGAAAATAAATTAAGTCATGAGAGATGGAGTAATCTCAGAATTTAGCATTTTGGAAGAAAGAGAGCACTCTGTATCTCAGAGTGCTTAATGAAACTTCTGTGGCTTTGGTCAGTCGCCTTTCTTGCTTTTCTTTCTGTTTTTAAATTGTCCTTAGCTTTTTCTTTTCTTTGTTGCGCTGCTTCTTCCTTACTTATACATATAACACAAACACATTCTCCTTGGATAACTTTTAACTCTATGTTTTTTATGCAATGGTCATATTCTTTTAGAAAAGAGGACTTATTGATACTTGTCTAGTAGTGTCCAATTAGGATATTTGATTAAAGAAATACCCAATTAAGAGAAAGCCCGGTAAATCTTTAGCTTGCAGAAAAGCATTCAATTCAGAAATGCTGCACTCATAAAATACTTCCCAAACTCAGGATTCATTTCATTTTATCCTCTGACTAGTAGAAGTGAATGTCACAGTGATGAAATTCAACCATAGAGTGAAAGCAAGTGTGAAAAAAAATTCTTAGAAACATTGGATTCTTGCTTATGAATCTCCATAAAGAAAATACTTGAGTTACCTTGAAACCAGTAGGATTTATGCTTTTTTATCCTTTGTATAATGCCAGTGTAGGCTCTTGAAATCTTTGATGATTTGCCAGGCATTGCCGTGGGAGAAACTTAGACCAGTACTTTCTTTAGGTAAGACTCCACTCGTACGCATTATGTAACCTGTGCCATGATCTGGACCACTCATTTCTGAAAGGCGTGGGAAGATGTTGGAAATCTCACTGTCTTTTCTCAATTATTTTCTATAGTTGTCAACCCCCTTCCATGGAGTTACAGGGAATATGCCTCTCAGAAGAGTGCCCCTATGACATCTCATCGGATGTTGATCTCGGTCCAGAGATTGTTCACAGATTTTCCCAAAGGCTTTCTTAGAGCTGCTTCTAAAGAAAAGATTGATCTTCATGATCTTCATGAACTACAATGCAATCAATGCAATCTTTCACTAAATTTCTGCCAGAATTGTCCAAAACCAAGATTATAATAAGCCGGTTAGGCTATGGACACCATTTGTATTTTTTCCCAATGCTCTACTGTATCTAGTGATGTAACTGTATTATCCAAGAGGAAAGGGCCAGATCCCACATCTACATGGTGGCATTGGAAACTCTGCTGACAGTATAGAAAACAGAGAGGACAGTCATTCAAGCTGCCTTGTTATGGAAGCACACGGATCCCCCATGACCAGCACCTCTAAAGTTTTGATAGTTTTCAGAAAAAGCTATGAAAATCACACACACGACATTTTGGTAGTCCTTAAAAAAAAGGAGGCATTTTATAGCTAAACAATTTTATTGGCTTTTTGTGAAATAAAAAACACGAAACAAACCACCATAGTTAAAGGCCATAATCAGCATCAACCAAATGAACCAGCCACTTGGTTACAGTAGCTGATAACAAACACTAGTGGATATTATTGCTTATACCCCAGGTTCATTTATGTGTCCATTATGTTTTGGCAAGATTACAATCACATGGGAACTTTGGTTGTATAAATTCAACTCTGACCACTCACTAAAAACTCAACTTCTATCATTTTAGGATGGGATATATGTCAATTCTTCCCGAGTCTTGACATTTATCCTCTCATTCTGTCTCCTTTCTCCTCCTGTTAATGATTTACAACACTATGGACCAAAATTTAAGGAAGATGCATTTACAACCATCCATTTCTACTCTACTGCCCTCTCCTTTACCATGAGGGGGTGATGCATTTCTGAGCCTCTCCAAAATCTTGGATCTGGTGTGTATCCACTGCCAGTAATAAATGTCCATCTGTAATCTGGGTAAATTTTCAAATGCGTATGGTTGTCAATAGTGGGGTTTGGACTCAACTGTCTCTTTTCCAACTTTCGAAAGCTAGAAAAAAAAAATCAACAACCTTTAGCATCCCCTGTTGACCTCCCAACAAAATCAGCCCCAGCCCCCGCCACACCACATCCCACAGCAGGTATGGAGCTGTGGCCTTAAAATGCCCCGTATGAGTGCTGTAGCATTTTTAATGTGTAGAGAAGCAACGGCTGCCTGCCTCTCTGAAGCTCCCCTGCTCAATACTTTCCGTTTTAACACTGAAAACTCAGAACAACAAAGGGTCAAGACTAACAATAGCACCATTTCCTAGACTCTTGGAATAAGGTTCCTGTCTGCGTTGGAGAATGCAGGGACCCCAGACGACCCAGCCTCCAGCATTACGCCTTCACAGGCCCCGCTGACCTTCGGCAGGGGTGGGTGGTCTGCCTCAGCCTGCTTCTACAGTGGCATGAATTTTCCCTGGGAAGAGTTAAAAATGCGTGTCTTACAAAGTGAAGTTGGCTGCAGGTAAGAGACCTGAGAAGCCTGTTTCCGTGGGTGAGATGTGACAAGCCTGCCGACGATTGGGACAAAGTCTGGGGATCCCTTCCCTTGCCCATTTCAGTTCAAGTCATTGAAGAATCTGCACGCAGAAGCATGGCAAGACCCAGGGACACCGGGAGACGCAAAGCCTCACACAGCCACTCAGACACTGGTGCTCTGAGGGCGTCTCGTGTGTTCGGGTCCCCCAGTGGGTTTGCCCCGGATACTGCTGGGATTTAATAAGCCCTTCTAATGATTATAAAGATTATCCTTTTGAATCTGGACATTTTAAACAACAGAAGACTTGATATCACTATATTTTACATGGCACATATAACCATATAATTACTAGCACTTACACGGCAAATATTGTAAATACACAGTCTTGGAGCTGACTTGGTAATTACACCAGTGTTATTCGGCAGAACAAAGATTAAACACTCTCTAACTTGCGCTTGGGGGAATTTCATTCCAACCCTGCACTTCACAACGAGAGGATAACCCTCTCATTATGTAATAATGCCTGGTGGTCATGTGGGCAAAGAGAATCACAGGGCGACTTCATGGTTAATTTGTGGCCTGTAAAATAAAGTAATACACAGTATTTTCATTTCAACAAAATACAAGAGACCATATAAAAATATTTTCCAATTTGGAATTTGAAACATGAAAGCTGGATTTTTTTTGTCTTCCTTTGTATAAAAAGAAACGAAGTGACGGACTAAAGTTTATTAAGCCTTCTAACAAAAAACATACACATAAGTTTAAGGAATGCCGTGAGTGTCAGCTTCCCTTTTTTGTCCAGGCTCATAGATGGGGAGCTTGTGCTTTGATCCCAACAAGGAGAAATGCACGAAAGTGGAGGAAGATCAGTGCCTGAAACCTGAACTACAACTTATCTCTAATAATAAGACTAATTTTACAGTAGTGCTTTTAACAAGTGGTGCGTCAGATTACTCATTTTTATCTCTTCCTCCTCAGGCGACTGCTGGAGACGAATTCCAGAAGCACCACTTTCGTCTTGAGTGATGTTTGTTTAGTGCAATGTCTTCCTTCTCCCGTTCTCTTTTCACTCGCTGGTAGTGGTCTTCTTCTTTCAGGTACCACACGGGGGGCCAGCGGTGCCGCTCAAAGTACTCCTGGTTGTCTGGTGAAGGAAAGATGCAGATGGTAACACCCGTCATTCGTGGATTGCTTCTACATTCTAGGTTCTGTGCCCAGCTGCTTCTCGTATCTGCTCTTGGACACCCTGTCCCGACAACCCAGCGTGGAGGGATTAGGGTAGGGGTAGGACCATTTGCAGATTGCAACACTCCAGTTTCGAGAGTTAGAATCACTTGCTAGAAGTAGCTGTGCACAGAGCACCTGAGCCCACGACCACTCGATTTCAGAGTGTGAGCTTGCCCTCGGCATGCCTCCTCGGATAAGGGTGAGCCCAGTGTGCCCTGTGGCAGGGAAGCCTGAACCCCACTCCACCCAATCCTCCAGCTATGAAGCTCTTCAAAAAGAGAACCCCAAACCAACAATTCTTTGGGTCATGCCTAGGCGTGTGACCATGAGCCTATTTTCCCTGAGCCGCCTGCTGCCCACAGACCTGCTCAAGGGCACAGAGGGTCAATGCTTCGTTCAGAGGCCATGAGAACAGGACAGCTGGGAACCCACAGTCTCACCTGCGGACTTCGATTTGATCTCCTTGCGGAACTTGGAACAAACACTGTTGTAGTTGGTGCAGATGTGGTGCAAACACCAGGCGGCCAACTGGTGGGCGTTGTGGAACTACAGGGAAGTGACCAAAAGGGAATCAGACTCCTGCTTTCTAAAGGGGGGCCACTGAGAAACAGTAAGCCACCGTTGGGGTGACAGAGATAAAGGGCCCGCGTGACTGATTCCATCAACCTCTTGTTTTGACTACACTGTTTTGACTTTGGCTGTGGCCCCGAGACCAGCCAAATATAGCGTTTGGCACACCTCTTCCTTACCCCTGTGACAGGTGCACCCAAAATACTCACTGTATCAAATCAGGAGCTGAAAGCACTCCTTGCCTCCCAGCCTCCCCCTGCACTGGCCCACTAGTGATAAATGACCGTGGCCTTTGGAAGGTGCCAGCCGGCAGCAGGGCAGCGACACTGACTCTGGTTAGGGAGCCTCAGCCTCAGCATGTCAGAGCTCGGCTTGCGGGGGGCCAAGGATCTGAAAGAGGAGACTGCGGACCGTATGACCGTCCGTGTACCTGTCCTTCGGTTACATAAGAGCGGGCAGTGTGGGCAGGGTGGCAGGGACCTGACGCTCCACAACATCTCCTTTCTGAGCAGATGCTTGGGGAGGTGGCAGCTGAGGCAGCCGTGACCAAAACAGACTCGGTGCTCAAAATTCAACAGTCACGTCCCATTCCTCCCCAAATTTGGCAAGTCTTCCCCCACCCCACACTCTGTCCTGTCCTTCTCAGACATCCATTCAGTGTGTTGGTCCTGAGGTTTCTTTGATCAGGTGGAACCTTGATACCTCACAGGCTGCTTCCTCTGGGGCCCACATCTCTGCTGAACAAAGGCCCATATAAAAGCTGAAGTCCTCAGAAAAAAACTCAAGAAGCTCTGAGAACTGCAACCTCAACCTCAACATTATAGACAATTTTTGCTGATCCTTTCAATCTCTCTCTTTCTCTCTCCTTTAAAGAGTTTATTTACTCATGAGAAGTGTTTCTTCAGAGAGAGGCAGAGACATAGGAGAGGGAGAAGCAGCCTCCCCATGAGGAGCTCAATGTGGGACTTGATACCAGGACGCCAGGATCATGACCTGAGCAGCCGCTCAACCACTGAGTCACCCAGGTGCCCCACTTCCAATTTCTCTTGGTATCAGATTTCTTTCTGAAAGTAAGATTAGGGCATTGGTGTCCTGGAGTTGGCTTGTACCTGCCCAAGACAGTCAACTGTGCACATATCTTCCCTACTCTGAGGTCAGCAATTTCATGATGTTAAAACTGGTCAGACAGGGGTATTTATACCATGAAACTGGAAAATGCAACAGATCAGGGTGCCACTGTCCCCAACCTGATTGTTAACTAAGCCCAGCATGCCACTAGGCTAAGGTCTAATGAATGAGCTAAGACATGGGAGGCTCCATCTTAAACTCTTCCTGCCAAGGCTTGTCAGGGCAGGGACCCAGAGCAAACAGACACAACTGCAAATCATTGCCTCAAGTAGACTGGCCTTATATGCAATTCTGGGTCATTTGCTTTTCTCCAGGAGGAATACTTACTGGAGAGAGCACAAGTCATGAACTGGGCCCCAGACCTGTTTTGAAAGACCTCAAATTCCAAATGTGAACAACCAACTTTGATGGGGCCTTTTGCTGATCCTACTGCAATAGGTGTTCTTTGTTGTTGGGTTTTCACTGTAACCTCTGTTAAGGTGTTTTTCACACTAGATTTTTTTTTTAATTTTTTTATTTAGTTATGATAGTCACAGAGAGAGAGAGAGAGAGAGGCAGAGACACAGGCAGAGGGAGAAGCAGGCTCCATGCACCGGGAGCCCGACGTGGGATTCGATCCCGGGTCTCCAGGATCGCGCCCTGGGCCAAAGGCAGGCGCCAAACCGCTGCGCCACCCAGGGATCCCTTCACACTAGATTTTAATAATGTTTGTTTCTATTTCTTTCACTGTCTATGATTGCCCCAAGGGCAGAGAATCTGCCATTTATAACCATGTGTCCTTTTGTCTAGCACGGTGCTAGATGTGTGGGGAGAAAACCACAAATACTTGTTGCACAGTAAGTCAAAAAGAGCAGGTTGCTATAAAGTCCTCTTCAGCCTTTTCCCCTTTTGAATCCGAGCCATTCCTATGGCCATGGGTGGAATGGCAACAGGGCCTACTACTTGCCTCCCTCCTCTCTCTGGAACTGAGAAAGATCCATTTAAGTCACCGGATCTAAGACTTAGTAAACCACAGCCCTCGCAGAGAGAGAGAGAACAAAGACAAACCCAGTGGGCTGGAGAGAGAACTGAAGAATTTTTTCTTCATTCCTTCAGGGTGTCACCTCATTGTCAAGGAGTCTATGTCAGGGACGAAGTAAGCATCCTGCACCCATGAGAGGGCTTCTACTCTTCCCTGCTCTTTCTTGAACATTCTCTCCCACTTGATTCTCAAAATAATCTGTAAGGTTGACAGGACCTGGGTTATCATCTCCATTCTCTACAGCTAAGGAAGCTGCGGCAGAGCTTAGCTTTGTACCTTGAGTAAAGTTATTCGTGACAACGCTGAGGCTGGATCTTGGGGCCTCTCTGGAACAGTGCAAGGGTGTGCCGCGATTATGGAATCACAATATTGATATTAACAAATACTGATTTTGGAAAAGCCCAAGAGAGCTGCAGTGAGATGGAGGGTATTACAGAGCTTCATGGAGTTCTAGAAACTGTCTGATCTTGGCCAATATGTGTCCAAGAATTCAAACAAGGAGAGACAAAACCTTCCCCTATCATGCCCCACGTTGTTCTCCCACATGTGAAGCTGGTGCCTCGGGGGACAATGGGGCTGGCGTGGGGTAGGGTCCTTGTTGTTTTCTCAAACGAAGCCCAGCAGGGTGAATGGTGCATGAAACGTGAAACTCTCAGATCTTCTCAGTGTACACAGGGCCCTCTGTGACTCAGTGGTGACATCTTTATTTAGACAGATGCAACAGCGGAATGTTTTATCAGCATTAAATGAACTGGTTGAACACATTTAAAAGGTGAAAGGCAAATTGTTACAGACCTGGGCCAATTCCAAATATGAGAGCACTTCCCCATCAATGCCCACACCACTCATCGCAGCCTTGGTCAGCTCCTGAACAGCATACTGCTCTAGAGAAGAGAGACAGAACAGGAGAAAGTTGAACCATATCCTTGTAAGCCAGACCTCTCACCTATAGAGTCTAGTCTGGAACCACCTAAGAGGGGAGGAATACGGGAGCCAGCTCTGGCCGCCATCTGAACTGAACTCAGAGCCCATTGTGATGGGTGGCCTTTCAGCATGGAAAGTTCTGGTCGCTGGCCATTGAACCAATGACTCTGGGACACTTGTTCACACTTTTGAAATAGCCAGAGCCCTCTAGATCTTTACTGTCTAGTACAGGAGCTATAGGCCACATGAGCTGATTGAAACTTCACTTAAAATTAAATAAAATTAAAAATTCATGCCCTCAGCCACATTAGTCACACTGAAGCGCTCAACAGTCTCATGTGTATTGTGCAACACAGACACAAAACATTTCCATCATTGCAGAAAGTTCTATTGGATGGTGCTGCTCCAGACCGTCCAGTGCCTTCCTAGAGTCCCCGAAATTCCTTAGCCTCTTCTTGTTTGACAGTTTGCCCACTCATCACTCCAATTCTCAATAATCTCTGACAGTGGAAGGACTGAGTAACAGATGAATGAATCCATATGGGGAATTACAAATGTGAATACAGATGTCTTTCTCAACAGCTGCAGATGGGTAACATATTGTTCAGCCTCTTAGACTCTAGAAACTGGGGGGGAACTTCAACCAGAAGTAACAAAAATCTAGTTGGGAGGGCCACTTCTGCCTGGGAGCTGTGTCCAAGGCTCCTAAGCTGAACTTAAATTGTGGTTCTGAGACTGAGTGGTCTCTTGCCTCTGTGTGGGCCCGTTCCCGCTTCTAGGATTGACATCTGTGGGGACAGGCTAGGCCCACATTCCTACCTCCTTGAGGTCAAGGCACTCTTTTCACCTCTAGCATTGTATCTGTTGTTCTAATCCAGTACATTGTCCCAGTTCTGCTGACCTTCTTCTGGTCTACGCACCTGCTAGTCAACACGCCTCTATCTGGTCAATACGATATCTGGATTTAATGGTTTCTTTGGCACAGCTTTCATCAGTTGGATTGACAAAGAACTATTTGAAACCACATTTTCCAAAGAAGTCATTGGGCTTCTTAATTTTAGGTAACAACTTTTCTTTTTATTCATTTAACACTTTGGCTTGCAAAAATCACCCCAGAAACTGATTTTTAAAAACTATGTTCTGGGCAGCCCCGGTGGCGCAGCGGTTTAGCGCTGCCTGCAGCCCGGGGTGTGATCCTGGAGACCCTGGATCGAGTCCCGCATCGGGCTGCCTGCATGGTGCCTGCTTCTCTCTCTGCCTGTGTCTCTGCCTCTCTCTCTCTCTAGTTGTGTCTCTATGAATAAATAAATAAAATCTTTAAAAAAAAAACAACTATGTTCTGATTAAAAACTACGTTCTGAATACTCTATACTTACCAAACACTATAAATAATTAAAGGGATCAGCTTAGGCAGCTGCATATTAATCACAGCAGTAACAATAGCACTTAATAACAAAAGGAAACATACATAGAGGTCTGCAGGTGACAAAAGAACCTCTCCTTGGTTCAGTTCCTTTCACGAAGTCAGTCTCATGTTTTTATCACCATATTTAATATTTAAACAAAAATGGCACTGAGTTCAATCACAAACCTTGTTCAACAGATTTGGCTCCAAATTGTTTCTATTAAAAAAAAATCAAATTCATCCTCTCAAAGGATAAATACTTGTACAAGCTGGATAGACCAATGGATCAGAACCCATACTTCTGAAAAAAGGAACTGCCCATCGCAGCCTCTTAGAGTTAACATTTAAAAAGCTGTTTACTCTTCTGGATCTGTGACTTCGGGTGTTTTGGTTAGTAGCATTTTTTAAAAAGTCCATAGCAATGCTTCAATGATCTCTTTCTATCCAATGGGGGAAGAGGTAAGGCAAGAAGAGGACTTTGAGCTCCAGTTGGATAAGTGTAGTAGAAACCTGGAGTCCAGAGAAATACCTTTTTTTCTAAAGACGCTGCCAAAAGGTCAAGTGCAGATATGACCAGTTGGTTTGTTCAAACATTCATTTTCATTTACTTAATGATTCAACAGTTACTTATTGGGAAGCTAATATGCTCAGACACTTTCCCGTGTGCTGGGGACAGGTAGGCCAATGCACAAAACTGGCACTACTTCTGCTTTCACGGTTAACAGGGGTCAGATAATGCAGTGACAAACACCCAGACTGCTAACTGACCCCTCTGGTAAATGAAGGTGAAGTTTTATATTTAAGAAAAAAGTATGTATATACACATATCCTATTTAGATCTGCTTCAGCTTAACCACTGAACAAATCCAGAAATGATGCATAAGATTTTGGGAAGTGAAGCCAAGTCCCCCTTTTTTTTCTGTCTCCCAAAATGCTCTTGACAATGTCAGAACATTTTCTAAAATAGCTTTAAAAAAACCACTTACATAATGCTTACTAGGTGCCAGACACTGTTCTGAGAACTTTATATATATCTTAACTCCTTAATCTTTGTAACAACTCTACGGTAGAATAACATGATCCCCATTCTAAAGAGAGAGAGAGGGAGAGCAGAGACAGAGTGGTTAAGTGTGAAGTCATCCAGCCAGTAAATGGTGGAGTTGGGATGTGAACCTGAGCAATCTGGTTCTGTAGCCTATATTCTTAACCACTGCCTCCTACTGTGTCTTTCTTGAAGACTGGGTCCGAGCACACATTATGGGGATAATATGGACATAATAGTTTTATTTTAAATTCCATGGCCCACAAATGAGGCAGAGTGCATAGACAGAGCATGGGTCTCAAGGGCAGGGGTCATGCATTACTCATCTTGATAACTGCATCCTCCTACAGGGCCTACCACAAAGTAGGTGCTTAAGAAATATTTGTGGAACTGAATTGGGTTGTCTGATACATTTGATCAATTCATATCACCCTGCACAAGACATCCTCTATTGGGTGATAAAAAATTATTTTTTATTTCCTGGAAATGTTATTTTTGTTTAAATGTGATTTTGATAAATTTGACAGTCAGGCAGTGCATGGTCCTGAGTCGTCAGACTTACCTGCAAGGGCAACCAAGTGTGGCAGGCAAAATCTGTTTGCCAAGGCAATTAATTCCAGTGGGTCCAGGTCCAAGTTAGGTGACAACTGCTTGGTATAAAGATAATCCAATACTGCTTGCATTGACATCTTGTTTATGTTCGGGAGATATACCTGAAATGTTATTTGAAAAGCTAAGTTCTGCAGAAGAAAGCAGTGGGTACATTTTCAAGCTTTACTGCTTATAAATATCCCAACCGTACGATTTGATATTGGCAAGTCTGGGACACCTGCTTTGAGGCTGCACGTAGAAGTCATTCGCTATTTACTGCTTTAAACACAACCGTTTGATTTGTAGATGACAAAAGAGTGGGGCTGCCTGACAAAGCCTGATTTGGAATTTTTAAATGGCTATTTGGACTTATAAATCAGACAAATGGGCTGTAAATGTATGATGACATTATGGGCTCTCCTTGCCAAGTACCTTCTAATACTCTATTGTGGGGAAAGAAATCTCCTGGGCAACATGACAGGTGTTGGGGGGAGCTGCAAACCCCACTGTTGCTGACACACGATAGAGCCCTGCTCTCTAAGATGTCAAAACAGAGGATGAGCAACCACCTCAGTTGCCACACTGACTGGCTTGATTCCAACGTTCTATCAATATATGCAAACACAAGATACACACTTCATTATTTTTCCTATGGTTGTGCCATAGATTCCAAATTTTTGGAATATTATCAGGTTATCAGTAGATTCTGAGAATCCAAAGAAATCTTTACTTGTGGGGGAACAGTAGGTTGGGTATGATAAACTCTCCTTTATAGGATTTACCTAATCTTGAGACCTCCTGAGCACTTGTAGTTCTTGCCAATATTGATACATGCTGGAGTTCCCTAGAGCCAGGGATGGATCAATGAGGATGTACACAGATTAGCAGCACACGGACTCAAACTAACCCCACAAGATGGGCCCTTGTATAGTACAGAACAGTATCGTTGCCATTGACTACTGGGATGATGATGGTGATACGGTAACCTGAATGGAAGGCCTATATACGAGGTTCTGTGCTAAGCTTCCCACACACATTATCTAATCTGATCCTTACATTCTCCCTAAGAGGAAAAACTATTATATTTGCCATTTTACACATAAGGAAATTGAGATTCATGGAGGGTAAGTCCCATGTTCAAGGTCATAGAGCCAGTAAGTGGCTGGGATTTGGACCTAAGGAGTATAATTCTAAGGTCTATGCTCAGAATCGCTGTGCAATACAAGAAACCCTTCATGGCAAGGAAGCAGAGGTTTGGGTCACAGTACAATAAAGTACCATATTTCACTAACAGTTTTTAAGAATTAGATTTCTAAGTTCAAAAGAATGAACAGTTATTAACTTCCTATTTCTGGTACTTAATAAACCTCCATACACCATATAAAGATAATAATCTATGTATTATATTTGATTATATCTGTATCACACATGATTACATCTATATTATATATCTAATCTTTCTCATTACATATGTATTACCTCCACAATCTACATGGGGCTCATGGCCAAGGCATTCTAGTGTCATGGTTCCAGAATCATTTAAGCTATAACAATCTGTATCATCCTCTTGCACAGCCACCAGCCACCTCAGAAAGAATATCCTTTCTTTTTTTTTTTTAAAGATTTTATTTATTTATTCATGAGAGACAGAGAGAGAGAGAGAGAGAGAGAGAGAGAGAGAGAGACATAGGAAGAAGGAGAAGCAGGCTCTATGCAGGGAGCCCGACATGGGACTCAATTCCGGGACTCCGGCATCATGACCTGAACCAAAGGCAGACGCTCAACTGCTAAGCCACCCAGGTGACCCAGAATATCTTTTCAGATAGAGATTTCTATTAATGTATCAAAGGGGAGGCCTCCAAACCATCCTATAAATAGTAAGAAAATCACATACCCACCTCCTTTCAGACATAGTCAATGAAAACAATTATGATTTGGTAAATAAACTGCATGGGTTATTACCATCAAGGATTTAACAACTGTCATCATTTCAAGTTTCTAGCATGACCTTGACAATAGACAGAACTTGGCAAGTAGAAACTCTTACTGATATTATTTTAAAATAAAGAAACCATAGTAGTATAATTAATTGCTAATCCAGTGAATCTCAGTTATACTTGCGTATATGCTTACATATGTATATGCTTACATACACATAGATTTATCTTATACAGATCATGATTGAGTTAGTAAAATTTTCTAGATAATTGGAGGTTAAGGTCTTAAACTTCAAAATTTGGAACATTTTGATAGTGAAAGCATATATATTTTACAAAGTTGTAAGTGCTAGTGATCATAAATATAAAATATCCTAGAGCTTTCTGTGAACACCTGCTCTCTCAGCTATGGGGATATCTGCTGTTTTGGAAAATAATGGCTTGGCTGACAAGGCCAGAGGCTGGTGCAGGCCCAGGGGCTTGTCACTAAAATGAGTGTGACCTTTGGCAAATCATTTACCCTCCCTGACCCTCAGTGTCTTCATCTGTTAAATGGTGTGTGCGGTGGGGGATTTGGAAGAGGTGATACCTACAGCTTTTTCTTCTTTACTAAGACTCTGGAGTTTGAAGATACTAGCATTTTTTGGTAAGAGTATGTTCTAAGTCATGGTAAAATGAACATCCTAAGTGAAAAGAAATTATTTCTGGCAGCAAAATGACAGACTCCTGTAAGCAGCCTTGCCCCAATACTTCTAATGTCTTTGGAGTGTTCTGATGTTTGTAATCCTTCATGACTTACTCTTTCCATCTTGTATAACATGATGCTAACAGTTTTTTGAAGGACAGCTTTCTTGGGTAAATAATGCTAGGGGACCTTCACAGTGAATGAGAATAAATTAATACCACATTCAGAACCTGTACCTTTTCTCTCATTTTCTTTTTAAAGTCTGTTTCTGTGATTTCAATGTTATATATAACAATGGAGAGACGTTTCATAGAACTTTGAAAAAATAATATAAATAAAGCTACATAAGAGATAGAATTAAGAATTGGCATCCTACCTGCTGGATCGAGCTTAAAAGAAAAGTCAGCAAAGAGAATATAATGCCATCCTAAACAACGTTCCATATTCCAGTTTCGTTGGTTTAAAATTTTAATTGTGAAGATCAGCTCAGACTATTAGGCTTATAATTAGAGACGGTCTCATAGAGAATGAGAAAGTATTTCAGATCCAGAGCATTGCTTACTACAACCCAGGCATGCATTTTTAATGAACCACTTGCTGAGTACCTCTGGGGAGAGAATTATGCTTACTGCTACATTAAAAGTAATGAGAAAAATATAAGTAAGATACAATGGCTTCTTAAATGACAAAAAAAATGTTAAAGTAACATCAATGTATATTTTATTCCTTTTTTAGATATGCATGAGAATTCTATTAATGCAAAAAAAAAAGGGCTGAATTTTGAGGGGAAGTCAGATTTTCATAGGACAGTAAAGAGTTAACAGATGCCCTAGAAAGGACAGATCCCAAGTGCCAATACAAGCCGTTTCAGTCATGGAATATTTACTGAGCATTTAACTGATGTTCCTCCCCACCCCCCATGACCTCTCTAACCACACTTTGCTAGTTTAGGAAGGGAACTGGGGGCTTTTTAACTTAGAGTTTTCAGAGGACAAAGATTTTTAATCCCTCATGGAAAGAATTTAACAAGAATTCTTCAGGACAACAGTCACTAATATTTCTTGAGCTTTGTATGTTCCAAGCAGCAAATTCTATGTTTTCACATGTACTCTCATGACTTATCTGCCCTTTGAAGAAGGTTCTCTCATTATCCCCATGTTACAGAGGAGGACACAAGGTTGGAGAGGATCAGTTGCTTGCTCAAGGTCAAGCCGAGACTAGGGTTCATAACAACATAACCCTTATAGTCTACATGGGAAATCCAGAGAAGGGGCAGGCAGGGGCACACATGTCAACAGCTCATGGCATTCTTGATACATTGGCTAAAGGAATTTGGCATAGACCTCTGGTTGCTTGGGTTCCATGGTCTCTGTCTTCTAAGCTGGGTAAAACCTCTCCATACCCATGAAGCCTTAGCTACAGTTCTAATGCCCTAGCCTTTCTAGGAGGGAGTGCTAAACAGGTGGCCTCTCCAGGAGAGGCTGTTAACCATATATGTGTGCATTCACATTCACTGCCAATTTTTTGTTTTGGTCACCTCTCCTGCACATTTTAATCTGGAGACGATTACGGTCCATTCTGGGAAGGGATAAAGGGGATTAGCATTTGTGAGGTCAGCTCTGACAGTGTCCCTTTGTGCCTGGGTTCCTGACCTTGATCAACGTCTCTGCTGGTTAAAATGGCAAAGCACTTGCCGCACAATGAGCACACATTTCAGTGAGCTGGAAAAATAAGGGAAGCAAGCTTCCAGGCCCTTTATCTCTGGAGATTACTCAAGTAAGTGAAATGCCATTTGGATGAAGTTTTATTAGTCAGTGGCTTCCCCAAAATTTCTCGGAAGTAAGAGTGAAAGAGTAATAACACTACTAACATCAAAATAAGACGAATGGAGGCTACATTTACTTAATGCTCACAGGGTGATTTGCAAGTATTGACCTTTACACCTCACTACCACACTGTGGGTTATTATCATGCTTTCCAGATAGGCAGACTGGAGCTCAGAAATGTGGTTGCTTGCCCAAGACCACACAGCTTGGAAGTGGAGGAGTTGGGACTTGAGCCCCACATCCTTCACTGGGCAGCTTCCACTGTGTAGGCAGCTGTAGTCTCAGTGACACGGCGACGCTGAAACCCGTCTGATGGCACAGGAAAGAATTCGTTAGTTACAGCAGAGAACTGATTCATAAAGGCTGGTAGACACCAAGAGAGGTCATCGGAATAATTCTAACACTTTTTGCCTCACACAGCAGCCAGCGTTTTGCTGGGGGTTGGTTTAGGAGCAGCTGCAGTTTGTTCTGGAAGCAGGAGGTGGCCTAGTGACCTGCTCTGCCCCAGCCTTCCCCGCTTGTGATTCTGCTTCCCTACTTGGGGATGCAAATGCAGGCTCCTGGGTCACAATGGGAGTGCTCAGATTTCTGGTGTGAGTGCCCCTTTCGAAAAGTTAGCTATTGTTTTCTTTATTTCTTTTAAAAGTGTGGAGAGATGCTGAGATATGCAAAACAAAGCTCTTAGGACAATAAACTTGATGGGGTGTCCCCGTGTTTTTTTTAAAAAAGATGGTTAAAAAATACTTTCGAAACTCAACAAAAATGCTTGCTCTTCTAGACTAAAGTTAGAAGTGCTTGATTGGAATTTATCTTTCTTTTCCAACCGAGTTTGTAAAAAAGATGAACATGTAGGGTCTTCAAGATACTGCTCACTCTGCTCTAAGAATATCCTTCCTCTGGAGACAGGGCCAGTGTCGGAGAAGTGGCTCAGTGGCTTCCACTAGACTTAAGAGAGGAGTGTTCAGAGGAGTGATCATTTGCTCCATTACTGTTTCCTTCCAGGTAACAAACCCTTGGAGGAGGCAAGTCAGGGCAGAGCCTCAGCGAGTGTTATAGCTCAAGGAGACCATCAGCGCGTCCCGGTCCCTGACCGGGCAGGGCAGAGGAGAAGACTGCGGCCAAGGATGTGGCTTCTTAAGGTCGTTGTCTGGGCAGGGGCTCAGCTGAGCCCAGGACTCCCATGATTGAAGAAGCTTCTGGAAGACAGATTCTGCCCCTATTGTATATGATTTTGATAGTATCTCGCTTGGTGACATTTGTTAAAAGGTATAGCTGATCCTGTTTTACAAATGAAAGCAGTGAGCAAAAGTCAACAGCTCCTTGTAACTGCAAAATGAAGAGGCACTTGATGGGATGAGCACGGGGTGATATGCTATATGTTGGCAAATTGAACTCCAATAAAAAAAAAAAAGAGGCTAACTGACACTTCAACACTGCCTAAGGAACTCGTTCATGGAAACAGTTGAAGAACTGAAGTCATCTGGTTAATTAAACACACACACGTTCATGAAGATACCACTTAGGCTTTTCAGAAGGCACATACCTCGCTGTTGGCGCTTTCCACAAATGAGCCCCCAAACATGGCAGCCATCCACCTGCAGCTACAGATCAGCAACGGTTTGTGGGCGCTGATGGCTCCATCATCCAACCTAAATGTCACATCTGCCCAAGGATTGAGGAAACATAACCGTGAGCCAGCTCCGCTGAGTCTGCCTTGTTCATCAACCTACATCTCATGCTCCTCTCTTCCGTATCTTTCCTTCGTGATTTTGTATCAACCTCCACCTCTGGAACTGCCAATTCCTTCTATGCATTCCAAGGATCAAGGGGTAAACATTTAAAATTGCACCTAAGATCCCAGCACAAATTCTCTGAACCATACAGTAACACAAAGGAAAGGAATATTTTTCTTTCTCCATACTCTGAAAAATTTCAAACATAATAAAACAGTGGAAGAAATAGTACATTGTTAATATTTTGCCTCATTTGCTTTAGCTTTATGTGTATGTGTGCATTTGTGTGTAGATAGTGAATACGTGTGCATACGTATATAGACATGTATATTTGGATATATACCTATTTGTGTAGACATTTTTTTAAATTTTTTTTATTTATGATAGTCAGAGAGAGAGAGAGAGAGAGAGAGAGAGAGAGAGAGAGAGAGGCAGAGACACAGGCAGAGGGAGAAGCAGGCTCCATGCACTGGGAGCCCGACGTGGGATTCGATCCCGGGTCTCCAGGATCGCGCCCTGGGCCAAAGGCAGGCGCCAAACCGCTGCGCCACCCAGGGATCCCTGTGTAGACATTTTTTAACAGCATTACACTTCAAACTATCAAGAGTTTTCTAAAAATAAGAGCATTCTTCTAGATAATCATTATCACGTCTAAGAAAATTAGCAATGATTCCCTAATATCATCCAATATCTAGTTCATATTCAAAATTTTCCAGTTATCTCTAAATTGTATTTAGTTTTTTTTTTTTTAATAGACAATCCACTTGAAGCTCCACACTGTATTTGGTCATTATGCCTCTGCATTAAGGGGAAGGTGATTCAATTCATTTCCTTTAAGGTCCATTGTTTAATTTACTGCAGGTTTGTAACACTGCTTTTCATTAGCTTTCAGGATGGCTTCTGTTTCATGATGGTCAACTTTTCAAGTAAGTATTATTTATAAGCTTTAAAATTATTGAACAGACTCAGTAACTGATGACTAAATGTATAGTACTAAATGTGTATTATCATGACAGGCATTATGAAAGATAAAGGATGAAAGAGAAGTGTCCACATAAGGAAAAGTCAGAAAGTTAAATTTTTACAATGAAATACACACACACACACACACACACAACACACAAAGGCAATTTCAGAAGTTAGTAAAAGTCTGTAAAGCAATTATGTGAAGATGCTGTGGGCAGCGGACAACATCGTTATCAAGGACAAAGAAGAGGAGAGGAAAATATAGAAGAGCAGGGTAAGGGAGTGTGGGAAAGAAAAGGAGGGGAGGTGGACAAATGAGGCACTCCTGATAGCAGGAGAGTTGCCAAAATCACCTCAAGGATTTCCAGGCCAAAGGGTCAGTGGAGAGAGTAGACTTGGTCAGGGAAAGGACCCTGAAGGGGAATTGTGAGCATCAAGCCAACTGGCTCTGGGGCTGGCTCTGGCTCAGGGGTCGTGTGGCCTAGCTACGAGAAGCACTGGTGCTTTAGAGGGGAGCTTGCGTGCAAATCCTGGCTCTACCGTTTACTACCTATATAACCCGGGGCAAGTTACCTAACCTCTCTGTCCTTCAGTTTCCCCATCTGCAAAATGGAAAAACATCTAGCTCTTAAATCTGATGAGAATTAAATAGGTGGATATGTGCAAGCTAGAGGGGTACACGAAAAAAATAAGCATTTATACATGTTAGTGATGGTTATTCTCTCCCCTACTCATGTATGGCTAATGTTTGATGAAACAAGACCAAAGGGATCGATGCCTTTACCATTGGACCCACTTACCTGAGAATGTCCCTTTGCTGAGACACTCTTTTATCCGATTGGCCTTCCGGACATGAAATGCTTTGGTAATCTCCTGGTTCATGAAGGCTTCCTTGTTCATGATGTTTTCCACCATCATCCTCAGATCAAACATCTCTAGAAGCTCTGCAATCTGAGCCAGGCCCACCAAATCCTTCTCCTTCTCATCCAGTTGTCCCGTATAAAGGAACTGGAGCAGGGTCCGAAAAGGGCCTGGCTGGACGGATGAGTCCATTCTGACCACGGTGATGGGGCTCAGCCGCTTCGAGACCGGATTGACTTGCATCTCCTTGTGCATGTCAAGGAACCCCTTGCTCCAGCCTGACAAAGTCTGCGTCTCTGGAATTGAGCTCTCAGCTTCCAGCCCCAGACTCTCCTGTAGGGACAGGCTCTGGCTCGAGGACTTCCACTGACTGGTCTGAAGTGTCCTTGGGGCACCTTCCTCCCTTTCCTCATCCGGGTTAAGGCTCAATGCCTGCCCCTGGAAATCCCGGGTCTGCTTCTCTTTCTCACCAGCTCCTTCACTTGAATTTGGGGTTTCTTCACATTCCATTAAAAAAAGATCATAAAATTTGGAAGAGGAGGTAGCGAGGTAAATTCGATGTGCAAAGATGTGCTCCTGGTCCTGAAGGATGAACAGGACATCGGCACACAGAGGATTGTCCAGTAAACAGGCAGCTTCGCTCGTCCCCGTGGAGGGACATTCTGGAACTTTGATGACTGGTGGAGGGGCTTTTGGAGGTAGGAATGGTGCCTGAAGTAAAGGTTTCTGAACTTTCTTTAGGTGAGATTTCCAGAACTGCAGGTGTCGGCGAGAAATCAGCGCTGCTCGGATTGCATTGTCAAACACATCCTTGATGCCGAACTGGTCAAATACGCTTGTCTCATAGTATGGTATGCCGAGTTCCTTGGCAACCTCTCGGCCTTTTTCTGGGGGCAGAATATCCCCTCTCTTTATGGGCCTAGAATAGAGGATTTAAAAAATTATAATCAGCCTCATTTTATTTTATTTTATTTTATTTTGTGGGTGGGGGTGCACCGTTCCGGGAAGTACTGCAATACCAGGTCGATGCGCGGAGTGGATGGAGCAAGCTCCTATTCCATCTCCCTGCTCCAAAAATCCATTTAATATGTTGTCCTCGGATAGAGGATGTATCAGATACTAAACTGATAAGAACAGATACTACACTTGATCTTAGCCAAAAGGCTGGGAATCAATAATCAGCCTCATCTTAGGAAAAAAATGGCAATGAGGGCCTATCAAAGTACCTGACTGAACTGTACCTTTAAAGTCCTAAGCATAGTTTAAAAAATTTTTATTTGAAGATTTTTATTTATTTATTTGAGAGAGAGAGATGGAGTACGAACTGGGTGGGGAGGAGCAGAGGGAGAAGCACACCCCCCATGAGAGGGGAGGCTCCATCCCAGGACTCCGGGATCATGACCTGAGTTGAAGGCAGGTGTTTTACCAACTAAGCCACGAGGTGCCCCTCTATGCAGGCTTTTAAAAAGGCTCTTGAAAAACCTATCAACCTTAAGTCTTCCAAATCTAAAGGATTTCGGCCTGCAGGAAAAGAATGCTTTCAGCAGTAACTACAATAACTGAAGTATCAGCCATTTACTAGCTATATGGTCCTGGGCACGTTACTTAAACTCTTTAAGCCTCAGTTTTCCTATCTGCAAAATAGGAATAATAATAAATATCCACATTTTAAAGGGCTCCTGGGTAGTTGAAATGAGACAATATGCTTAGCATGGGACCTGGCCCACAGTAAGCAGCTAACAAATATCGGCCGTTCCCACAATTACCACCATCACCACCTTCATCTTTGTCACCAACACCTTATGCTTACATTTTGCTTTACAACTTTGTGACGAATCCATATGCTTTTTCTCATTTGAGCCTCACAATAATCCTACAGGTGTGATTTTTCATTCCACCTTTGGAAGAAACTGAGAGGGTTTAAAAGGCTTGCCTGAGGTTACATTTGCAAGTTGCCGAGAGGCCTGTCAAGCAATTAGGTTCTAGAATCCCCTAGTTCTAGACTGGTTAAATGGTCCACATCCAACAGCCCATTAGGTCCCTTCCATCACATCTGTGAGCCTCCTTTCACATCTAACTGCTTCTCTTCTCTTCCATGTCTGCAGTCTTACCCTCATCCTCTTTTGCTTGGACTAGTGCATTAGCCTGTATTCAGACTCTGCACATTTTAGCTCACAGAGCTCACTGCTGCATGGGAAATCCTTACATAACACAAGTATGACTTTAGGCTGGGATTCTTTTTAAAGATTTCCTCTGGATCCACAAAGCCCATGGAACAGTCTATGGCCTTTAGGCTGGCACACAAGGCCCATTACAATCTAATCAAACTCAAGGAGGCCAAACCTTTGGACGCAGTGTAAGCAGAAGAGTGCCATGACTATAGTGTAACATGGTAAAAGACAGATTCTGGAACATAAACAAGATGTGATTTGTTGTTCTCCTCCTCACAGACACACTCTGGATTCTGGAAGATGCAGAGGTGACAATCCCTTCTGTAGATTAGCTCTGAGATTTCATGAAGGAGGCGGTATTTGAGCTAAGCCTTGAAGAGTTTTACCACTTAGTGATTTTCAAGTCAGTCCCAGGAACCAGGAGCACAAAATGCCTGGAAGAGCCAACCTGGAAGTTCAGCCTTTCTCTCTGCACACCCTTCTGCTTTTTCCTTGCCTTCCCTCCAGGTCTCCAAGTACAAATTCTAACCAGTCTTATATTTCTCCTAAGACCAGTCTTCCAGAGCCCTAACTCTCCTCCAGCCTTCCACATGCCTGTGGTTGTGAGGCCCCACTATCTTAGCCTATTCTTTCCCACAGAAAGTTCTGGATGCCAGGGGCAGTCTCTCTTCACCATGAGCCTCTCTGTGTGGCTTCTAATATGCAATGCCTAGTCTACACATTTAATAGGACTGTGAAAATTCAGCTTTCAGGGTTTTCAGAAAATTTATCTGAAATGCATCAAGAACATCAGAAATTGTCAAAAGGAAGTACCATTTGCTTTTGCTCTGAGTGTAAAAAGCTGTCTCGACGAAATTTTTGTAATAAGCCTATTAGGCAAACATCAAAGGAAGGTATTAATATCAACATTTTTGGGAAACCCATGCTCTTCAGCAAAAAAATTAGTAAAACATAAAATATATATAAAACTATTTTTTATGAAGGGAATATGGAGGGGGCATGGGATTTTTTTAAAAAGATTTTATTTATTTATTCATGAGAAAGAGAGAGAGAGAGAGGCAGAGACATAGGCAGAGGGAGAAATAAGCTCCGTGTGGGGACCCTGATGTGGGACTCAATCCCTGAATTCCAAGATCACAACGTAAGCCAAAGGCAGACGCTCAACCACTGAGCCACCCAGGCATGCTGGGGGCACAGGTTTTTAAAAACTCTTATTTCCCCCTCAAATTGGTACCCACGTTTTCTACAGAGTCAAACAAATACTTAAAGGTGATTTTTAAACTTGTGACCCTTTAAAAACATAACTAATAGAGACATTTATAAAACAGTGTTGCTGTTTTGCAACTATGGGTCCATAGGATTTTTAAAAACTAGACACTGGCGTTTTGGGAATGAAATATTCTCAGAGGTTGGACTGAGGAAAATGAGAAGACTAGGCTGTGTTTATTTGTATGAACCTGATATTGCTGGGGCCAGGAACTGTGGCTAACCCATCCCAAATGTTCATTAACTTTATTATAATAATCATAATTTCAAGAATGACATTATAAGGAGTAACCAATATTTTGTTCAGTGTTTTACAAATTTCAAGGCACTTCTATTCATACCATGTCACAGTGGAGGAATTCGCTTCCAGCACTGGCCAACCATTTTACAAAAATGGGTTCCTTACCTAAGAGGGGATGGGACAGCTAGCATGAAAAGGGTCAGGATTAACAAGCTAACTTAAAGCACATGGCTGATTGATGGGATCCCAGAACCACTGAAGAGCACAACCTGAGGCTACAGAGACATCTGTTACCTCTGAATTTGAATTTGGCGAGCACAGCAAAATACTGAGTCCCTTGGCTTACCTCGCTAAAGGGCGTCTGGCTCGATTAACAGCTTCAAGATCAGCATAGCGGAGATCTAGCTGGCAGCCAACTAGAACAACAGGTGTGCGAGGGCAAAAGTGCTTGATTTCTTGATACCACATGGTTTTCACATGATTTAGGGAATTGGGATTAGCGATCGAAAAACAGAGGACCACAACGTCAGACCTAAAAGGAAATCACAAAAGAAGCTGGATTGCCTTAAAACTTTTTTTTTCTTTTATCATTATGGTTCCTCCCCCTCCCCCATCCATCTAAGACTATACCATGTCATAATAACAAAACAAAACAAAACACGGGTATTAAAATACATCTCGGAGTCATGCAAACAGCCTGAGAAGCCCCCACATTCCAGCACCAACACAGCCTGAATTTGTTTTCAAACTGCACTGCAGAACACCTATGTATTGAAGTTTCCAATGATGTTATTTTACAAGATAGATGATTACCCAAACTTGATTCAGTCCTGAAGCCACAACATGCTGAACTATTTCTGTTTGTCACAAGAAATAGTTTCAAGATAAAGTAAAACAATAAACTACCTTTTATCAGTTTAAACGTAAAGGCAATGATGACTCAAACCCAATGAGATAAAGCAAACCGTTTAAACATTACTGAAAACATAACAAGTATTTGCTGTACAGGGCCAGCAAATACACAGAAGGATTTCTGCCCTTCTTCCCACTTCAGTATACATGTAGAGAGCACAACCACTTATCTGTTTCTGAAAAGAAAATGTCCTGAATTTGCAGGGATTTTGACTCTCTACTAGGTAGATGGCAAGAAGGTCGTATTTAACAGAAAGCCAGCAAGAGTCAGGTGGATGACTAATAAGAGAATGTTGGAAGCAGATTTCTCAAATGTTACATATGACACACAGCAGGTAAGTGGAGAAAAGAAAAAAGTACTTTATAGTCAATTTTGACATAAGGATCTTCTATTTTTATATAATAACTTACCATTCTAGAAGCCAAAGAACCGTTTTTACAAAACAGTTGTTCAATTATGGTGTCTGACAGCTGCTAAATGGTATCTTTAATAAGAATTACAAGCCAATCATTCTAGGTCAAAATATACTGAATGGTGACTTTGAAAACATTGAGGCAGAAGAACATAAAGAATAGGAAAAATTATGCCCAAGGATTCAAGACTATCTTGCAGCTAAATTCAGAAATAAACTCTTACAATATTATTAGATGTTAATTTATTGCCTTTATTGTTTATGTAATGAGAAGAATCAAGTCGATGAATCAAAACACCTTCTTTTTAAATCATTAATGAGCTTTCCCCCCTACATATCAATGAAGACAAACAAATATATCCAGGCAACCATAAAATTTCTAAAAATAATCATTTGCAATGCAGAAAACTGCAGGGTGCTTACATTAAATGTAATTCACAAGTTGAGTCTTTAAATTTATATCCCAGAAAAACTGCACCAGACCACAGCAAATAGAGGGGAAAATCCCGAGATTAAAATATTTACAAATTATAAAAGAGGACCTAGGACTCAGAGTAGATGAATGTATTAATCTGCATGTTTAGAATGTCCTTGAAATAGATATTATCAGAGATTCATAGACACTGGAAAATAGATTATGTGTAAAAATATGCATAAATATATAAATGAAAGGGAAGCATGTCTTGTCTGTGAGATTCTGATTTAGTTAGTGGAATATTCTGTGCACAGCCTTACTTCTAATCAGCATAAATAACGGTACCCAGGAAAGCCAAGAATGCTTTGAATTTTACATTTTTTAGGAGCTGAGTTTTCTATTATTCATAATCCTATTTATATAGGATATCTGATGCAGCTCTGCTCTAAGCTTCATCCTGATCATAAAACAAAGCCACCATGAATTTTGGCACAGTGAGATTAACATGGCAATCTGTGAGGTTCAATATTATAGAGAAAGAATTGAGGAAATGTATCCAGCACGTAAATGTGGGATAGCATGTATATGCATAAAATTGTTCTAATTGGTGCCTATTTCCATATTGAAGCACATGGCTATAAAGGAAATATTCTCAGAGCTTAATTTATATGACAGACATGTAGCTAAATGTCAATTCTGTTATCTAATTTTATGATACAGCATGTGAGGTTTTGAAATCAGAGCTGGCTCGGTTGCCAAGGTTACCGTGATAACACTCATGCCACTGAACACATACTAGTTACTATTCAGCTGACCTGTAAACAAGTACAGACAGGACGTTGGGGGTTGGAAAAAATGGAATCTCTTGATGGTAGTAGCATAATGCCATCACACAATACAGGTCCGGAGGGCCCAACCTCTAACTGTGTCGCATCAATATCTCAATGCATGAAATGCTGTTGGAAAACTAGAAAAAATAATTCAGTGTTCTGTAAATATTTTGCCTCAAAAGGATGACAGTTAAAGAAAGAGAAGAGGCTGTATTCAGAGCAGTACTACCTCTGAGGCTAGAATAACGTATTGAGTCAAAATTCTATTTGTATTTTCCTTTTATTAATGCTCATTTAGGGGCTCCAAGAGTGCCTCTCCATTGGTTTACACTGAAAGCAGCTAAAAATTAAGATCATATCTGACCTCCCAACTTGCTTCACTGTCTTCGGTTTAAACCTTGTTGGTCTAAATACAAATGCAAGTGAAGGAAACATGATATACAAATTATGGAGAATCCCATTTTTCGGTCCTACCCTAAAAATATAGTACTCTAACCCTGATTCTAACCAAAAGTCTGGGAATCAATGGATGTAGTGACGGATGCTGTTTTGATACATTTCTCCTTATCCCAATATTCTTTTCTAATCCCTAATTCTCCACACAGCAGGATCCTCTGCAATATAAACACCTTTACAATCAAGTGACTATTCTGAGAACGCCCTGTATTCCCTCTCGATTTTGAGCTGCTTTTTTTTTTTTTTTCTATCTAGTCAAGGAAGGCACAAGACCTGTAGCTAAGAATATCTCCGGCTCTAGGCAGAATTCCAAGGAACTAGAGATATTAAATAACTTTTAAACAAAACATTCATTCCTGTGTGGAGACTGTTCAATGTCTGACACAAGCTCGTGTTTAAAAATGCCATTCCTATGAAAGATAAAAAGGAAAAGGCAGGTTCTAGCATTTCCACTTCTGTGGCTCTGCTACATTTTTTTTTTTTTTTTTTTTTTTTTTTTTTACTCCAAAGAGTTGAGTTTAAAAATAATTGGGAGGGGGAGGTGTGATGAGGTCGTTCTCACATACTATGCAGCAGGGTTAGCCTAGAAATGACCTCAGTGTTCCTATTTCAGCTGTAAAAAGAATCTGGTAGGTTTTAAATGGCGTCCTACAGCTATTTGGAGTAGAAAGCACAAGAATTTGAGAATGCAGAAGCAAAGCACAGAGTGGTTGAAACTCTGAACGACAGAACTTCGAAAATTGAGAAGAGGTAGGAAGAGGTTTAGATTTTTTTTTTTTTTTTTTGGACCTGGAGAAGTGGCTTTTTAAAAGAAAGCCAGGATTACAAAGGATTTATGAGTGCAAGGTCTCAGTTGCTTGCCTATGGAATGTTTATTTTGGGGAGAAAACTGTAATTTCTTTTCCTTAAGGGGAAGATATTAATATAAAAATTTCTCTAGGGTACAAACACATCAAATAATGCCAGTGGAGTAATATTTTGAGTAGTTGAGTCAAAAGAATCCACGGTCAATCTCTGTGTTGAAACAATTGGGAATCTCACTTCACAGAGAGGTGGGAGGTGGAGAGGGGATCAGAGAGAGCCCACGTCCTCCCAAAATGCTGGAGTTGATAAAGCCAACCTCAGCTGTATTAGTTTTTCTTTAGATATTAAACAAATAAGACAGCATGTTTTTTTCAGTTATCTTTCAAGGAGACCACGGGCCAAAGATAGCATATAAAAAATTGGCAAAGGTATTTGGATAGTATAAGGAGTGTGTGCAAAGTTGGGGCCAATCTTTGTTGAAGGATGAAAGAAAAAAAAGATCTGAAAACAGTGCATCTTACCCACATATCTTAGCTCAAGCAAGACTTGAAACAGCAAAAGCCATACAAGTTCCCAAGGCCTCTGTAACGTCTACAGTGAAATAGAGCCAACGTGGTGGGGAATGGTCAGAGGAGCAACCAGGGTAGACTGCTTTTCTGACGTGAAATACCAAATTCATCCTTTGAAGAAGTGGTTGAAAAGGGTAGAGGGTAATTGTGACACTGCGTTGTTAAGAATGGACTTCCCAAGTTCTTTCCTGTCACAGAAGTGCCCTCATCCTTCTTGGTTTATCTCGCCTTTTCTAGTGCCGTCCACCCTGCCACCTCCTGGTTAATCTTGTCTTTCCTAGTGCCATTCATCCTGCCACCACCGTGCAGCTAAGGAGCTGCGTGAGGGTCTTGCATTTCCTTTACCTGAGAGCCCAACACTAGGCAAATCTAATGGACCCTAGTGACGGTTCGTGGTTCCAGCTGGTCCTCCAGATAGCTGTGAGTGGGACTGCTGAATGCCCTTCTGCCATGGGCCAATTCTTGCTTTGTCTCTTGCTGACTAACACTTGGTGACCCATAGTAAACCAACGGTTTCATTGTCTTAAGTTTCACTTGGAAGTATCTCCTTATTAACATACCCTTTAAAGCCTTTTGTTCTATGGTAGGAACCTATCTCTTTACACATCAGTACTGCCTACCACTTCATTTTTTTAGTAGAGACTCCTATATCCTCCATACTGGTAGAGATCATGATCACATTTTTTAAAGATTTTATTTATTTATTCATGAGAAACACACACAGAGAGAAAGAGAGAGGCAGAGACACAGGCAGGGGGAGAAGCAGGCTCCATGCAGGGAGCCCTCTGTGGGACTCGATCCCGGGTCTCCAGGATCACACCTGGGTTGAATGCGGTGCTAAACCGCTGAGCCACCTGGGCTGCCCAAACCGCTGAGCCACTCGGGCTGCCCTCATGATCACATTTTAATGGGCTTCTTTCCTTTGTCAGTGTACACAGGTTCCCTTCTGGCAAAGACTCAAGTAGGAGACTCTGACCTCCCCCTTTGAGGCTTCAAGCTTCCTTCTCCCACTATAACCTATGTAGGTTCTTTACAGAAACATTTTCAAAACCATTCATGTCAACAACACACCTTTCATGCATATAGTCTGACAGCGCTATGCAAACAGATCAAAACAGCACAAAACAGCTGGG